CAGGGCTTGGGCACTATATCCCTTAGTATTTTTTGTTCAAGGCTAATACTCTACCACTTGAATCATACCTCCACTTTCAACCCTTTTTGGTAGTTTATTGGGCTGGCTTCAAACTGTGACCCTCAGATTTTAGCCTCCTGAGTAGCTAGGATTACAGATTTGAGCCACTAGTCTGCCCCCTTTGAGGGTTTCCTAGACAAGATTAACATTTGAATCCATAGACTCAGCAGTCTTCCCAGAATAGGTTGGGGCCTCCTCTAACCTGTAGAAGGAGCCTGAGAAGGAACTGGCTCCCAAAGTCAGGCTGTGTTTGAGCTCCTAGAGCCAGCTTCCTGCAGAGCATTCAGCTTCCAAGTGTAGCTCGCACCGTGGGCTCTCCTGAGTCTTCAACTTGCTAAGTGCAGATCTTGGTACTACCTGATCTCCATATCACATGAGCCAAGCTCATATATATTATATAGTATATGTATAGTACATGTAATATAATATATAATAATGCAATAATATACTACATAATAAAATCTGTAATACATATTATATGTCACATATATATCAGATACACACCACGGGCTCTACATATGTTCTGTTGGGACTTGATGACATCATAGGTATTTTCCAGCTCCATTATCATCTGATGGTACCCATCACTAAATATGTCCTCTCTTACTGACCAGAGCCCTGGCATGCGATGTGTGCCGGCCCAGTCTCCTCTTGGCTCTCTGACTGATGCGATCTCCTTCCCAAATGGCTGGCTCTGACTTTTCAAAGTCACAGCGCTTTATTCCTGAAGAGAAACTGTGCATGCTGACCACCCCATGAGTGGCCCAATTTCCCCAGGGTTTGGGCAGCCATCAACTTCTGCCTGCCAGATGTCTGGTAGGGGGGAGTCTTTAAGATCTTTTATCCATCAGTCTCCAGCAGACCTGGCTAAAGCTTCCAGAGCACCAGAACCCTAGAGCCCCTTCCCATAGTCCTTGGTGGATCCGGTTGGGGCTCCAGGGGGCAGCAGAAAACACCTTTAGTACCTGCAGGCACAGCCCCAGCCCCCAGATGTGTGGAGCAAGCCGACTGGTGCATCTCCTCATCAGACTTCTCTAATAAACAGGTGTTGGGAGAAACACAGTAATTAAGTTAATGCAGTGGAGAAAAGAAAGGAAAATGGTTTTTTTTTTGTCAGCTTATGTCATATGATCAAGACTTCTAATAAAGATGGAGTGCGGTTAAAAAAAAAAGCACAGAATTAGTCCCTCTTTTAGCCCAACCAATTAAAATGTATTTATTACATGCTGGCATTTTAAAATGTGTTCGTATGGGTCTATTGCAGAGAAACTTTGGAAAGAGGGCATTTTGGAAAGTATGTGTTATCTTTCTGAGATTGTTCTCTCTGGTTATGTCATTTAGACAAAAAAAAAAAAAAAATTAGGAAAAGGAGCACCAAGGAAGAAGTTCAGGCATCTCAGCCTCTTGAGCCCCACATGAAATCATTTATTAACAAATAACTTGATTTTGATTTTAATTACTCGTGTAATCTCCACTTGCGTATTGTCACGATGCATGTTGACTTGGCGATTTCTAACAGGGAACATTTTCTGTCCCATTCAAATGTACAAGTGTAAGCATTTCTCAACTTCTTTGTTCTTGGATAAAAAGGAAATTGATCTTTATCTGGTTCTGTTCTGGTATTTTAAACCCTGTGAATGCCGTTTCCGGGGACGGCTGGGATGGCTGGGGATGTGAGGTTTCCATAGATTTTTCTCATTTTTCTCCCTTATTCTAGGAAGTTTCTGGAATGGCTCTGCTGGTCGTTCTGTGTTGCCTTCTCTGTACCCCACTCCCCCACCCTACCCCCCTCCTCCTTTCACCTCTCCTGAGTCTTCAACTACTGGTCACAATTTCTAAAGTCTTTAAAGCAGAAGAAGAAGTTGGGTGAAGTAAGTCTTTTTTTCAAGGCTTAAGACTGAGGAAAGCAATGTCCATTTGTTTCCATTCGGACAGACTTCCAGTGTTTTGGTCCCACTAAGCAGGAAGTACCTCCCCCTGCAGTGGATACTCACAAGGCAGGCTGCCTAGATGCCCCCATAAAGGCAAGGAGACGTTCCTTTCCAAGGCTAATTCCCTTCAAGGTCACCCTCACCCTAGAAGCCATCTGCCCACCTGGCACACCCAGCCCAGGACTCCGCGTCATCAGCTTAAAAAGCCCAGAATTAGAAAACACACCCTGACACTCTCCTGCACAGGGGTTGCCCTTTGAGCAGTCTTTCAGGTCCTGGTAGGACTTAGGTAGGATTCCCCACCACCCTCTCCCTGCACCCCCACAAATAAAATACCAGGACAACTTAAAGGGACCTCAGCTTCATCTGGTGGAGGAAAATAAACACTGACATAACTTGAGAAAGGCAGGTGTCTGAAATGATTCTGCTAGGGTCTTCACTTTTTTTTAACCTAATTCATTTATTCATCAAATACTTTCTCAGTGCTTTCTGTGAACAAGGCTCTATAGTAGGCATCCATTATGGCTGGACAGACAACTAAGTCTTTGCTCTCTCGGAGTTCATACTTTAGTGCAGAGAGAGAGAGAGACAGAGAGAGAGAATGCAACTGTGAGTCAGGCACCAGTGGCTCATGCCTATAATCCTAGCTACTCAGAAGGCTGGGATCTGAGGATCATAGTTCAAAATCAACCCGGCAAGAAAGTCCATACGACTCTTTACCTCAAATGAGCCATCCCAAAAGCTGGAAGTTTAGATGTGGCTCAAGTGGCAGAGTGCCAGCCTTGAGTGAAATTTTTCCTCTAAGGGACAGAGCTCAGGCCCTGAGTTCAAGTCTTAATACCAACTTACACATGCACACAAAAAAACGTAAATGTTTTATGCTAGATGGGGAAAAAATGGGAGGGGGAAAGGGATATTATCTCCAATGAGTCAGCAAAACAAAACAAAACAACAAAAACACCTGGAATTAGAGCTATGGCTAAAATAGTAGAGTACCAGTCAGGAGCTGTGAGAAATCTTAGTACACAGGAATGGCTACTTTAACTGTCAAGCTAAGTCTCTGAAGGCCACCTAGAGGAAGAGCATTCCAGATGAAGGCAATGGTGGTACATAAGTCCTAAAGCCGGAAGGAGCATTCTGTACAGATAGAACAGAAACAGGCTAAGGGGTGCTGCAGACAGAGGAGGAGCAATGCATAATGGGATCAAACTGCCGAGCATTCTGGGAGCATCGTGGATCTGGTGCTTGGCTTTAAAGGAACACCTGGGCCAAGGAGGATGCCAGGAGAGCATACTTCAGGACAGAGCTGTGGCAGGGCCTGGCCACCCAGGACATGAGTAAAAATTCTTCCTCTGGCTCCCTGTCCCCTGTCTTTGGGGACTCCTGAAGGTTTTGGGGGAGATACATGGGCCTCGGATGGAGGAGTCTGCTATCTTTAACCACACAATGCACACAAGGCTGCAAGGCACTCAATAGATCTGCACATCCCTGAGCGTCATTATTGATTCCTTGGAAATAGACCACAATTATTTTTGAAAATAGATGGCATATTTGTCTATCCTCTGAAGCAGCTCATACTCCAATAGATAAAGTGTCAGGAGGAAAGAAAAATCAAAGAAAATGGAGGTGTCCATATCTCAGATAGATTTTTTTTTATATTGGCAATGTACAAACAACTAGCAGAAAAAGCTTAAAAAAATGCAGCCAAGGAACAAGGCAGATTGCTGAAAAGATTGCAAGGGTTTGGTGTGATGCTCAAACAAGAAGAGAACAACCAGAGTGAGCCAGTAGCCATTTTCCTACTTGGTTAAGAGCATTTGGAAGTATCATTTGAAGGGCTGCAGGAGCAAGTCATCCAACCTCCACTGTCTGTTCAGTCAGACCAGTCCCAGGGATTAGTTTAAACTAAAGCCTGGATGTTAGCAAGGAGCTCCTTCTTTCCTTCTAGAGTGAAGAGAGATTGAGCAAGTAGCCGAGCTATCACTTATACTTCAAAGATTCCTAGTTCTGTAGGATGGAGGAAGATGCCATACCAATATAGTAGAAAGAAGCCATAGTTTGGTACTATATCGTGGACCTTAGACAAAGCAACTCTATCTCAGACCCGAACCACATGAAGTGTAGGGCTATGTGTCTGATATCATTTGGGAGGGGACTGTTGAGTAAGAAATCAGCAAATCAGAGTCCCAACTGACCTATCTAGTAGCATATAGACAGGAATGTGAAGATCATTCTATTATGTAATGATTTGTTGTTGTTGTTGGTCATGGGGCTTGAACTCTAAACCTGGACGCTGTCCCTCAGCTCTTCAACTCACGGCTAGTACTCTACCACTTGAGCCACAGTGCCACTTCCAGTTTATGTGGTGCTGAGGAATCAAACCCAGGGCCTGGTGCCTGTGAGGCAAGCACTCTATCACTGAGCCATCTTCCCAGCCTGATTAATTTGTTTTTAAGTGATGGTATTGGGGTTTGAACTCGGAGACTTGAGCTTGCTAGGCAAGTACACTACCAATGAAGCTATATGCCCCTAGTTCTTGGTTCATTCTGATGGTCCATTTGATTGGATTGAAAGATGCCTAAGAGTTAAGTAAAGCTCACTCAGGAGCAGGCACATCTGCTTAGGGATTTCTACAGATTAAAGAAAGGGGGAAAACATGCCCCATCTTATAGGTTGGAGTCCTGGATGGAACAAAAGGAGGAGGAGGAGGAAGAAGCCCAGAGCACAGCATTTTTTTCTCTGCTTCCTGACCTCCATGAGTGAGCAGCTCTCTTCCACCATGATGTTTCTTGCTTGCCACAAACTAAAGAAATGGAGCCTCGAGGAGCAATCGTGGATCGATCACCTTCCAAACAATGTGCTTAAACCTATCTTAACCCTATGTGACCTGCTTTTCTCGTCTCCAGTGCACACGATCAGTGTGACCTACACAGATGTGAACCTGAGTTCAAAACACAGCTGGACCAGGGCCTTCTCCTCCTCTGAGCTGTGCACACGTACATCTCTCACCTGTGTGTATCCTCAGGTGAACTTTCAGGTGATGAGAGGTCCGGAACGTCTTCCCACAGTAGGGGCAATCCTTCATGGCTGAGCCCAGGCTCCTGTCTCGAAGCAAGGCTGGCTGCTGGACGCCACTGGGTCTCCCAGCCTCCTCCCCAATATCTGCAAGAGAAGAGAGGAAGACATTCTCACATTGCTTCAGCACATGTCAGAAGTTGTTCACACCAAAACTGCTAACACCACACAAAGTTTAAAACATGTCAATACTACACCTGTCTGTTTCATTCTTTAAATCTGACAGAATGCTGACAATTCATGTATTTTCTTGTTATTCTCTTAAATTATTTCATCTTTCCTATCATCATTTTAAGCAGCATATGGTACCTTTATATTGAACTGAATTAAGCAAGAGGAGAAGCAGCTGTGTCAGCAGCTGGTTTGGTTTCTTCTTTTGCTTAGTTTCTTATTAAATAGTTGGGTGTGTTTTTTTTTTCCAAAAGTTTTTAAAAATGCAGGGTATTGTTGAATGGGATTCATGCACAGGACAGATTACTGGACCAGAAGTTATACTTGCATGATAACCAGCAACAAGAAGGGGAATGGAAAAATAAAAATGAGTATCTCAGTTCACTCTTTGAGACACACAGGCATATGGCTATTTTGGGGGACAGGAAAGAAAATTATCCCAAACTGATCGTTTCTTCTTGTCAAGTCTGTATCCATTCCTGGCTGCAGCAATCTCATGAGAGGGAGAAGAAAAGGTATGGAAATGCAGTTCCACAATTAGCCTATGAGCAACATAACACTGACATATTTAAAGTCATGCACAGAAACCCAGCCTCAGCTCCCTTCCCCATAAACCCAGAGCCTCGCATTTAAATCTCCAGGCGGTGACTTGAGAAGTTCCTCAGTGAAGTAGTGATACAAATTTGTTCCTTCCTGTTGTTATTTGTTATGTAACCCAACCCCATTAGAAAATGGAATAAAATTTACATACAGCTGCCTTCTGCCCAGAAGTGATGAGACATAATAGCAAATAAAACTATGAAAATAGCTAGTGTTTGGAATTAAATGACTAGGGTACCCCAGGCCTGACATCTCAAGGCTGTAGAATGCTTGGGAATCTGGATCTCCTGAGGAGGGGAGGTCAGAAAGCCTTCTCTGGCCTTGTTTCTGCTTCTGAGTTGCAAGACTTCCCCAGAGCTAGAGGCCAAAGGCCTGGCACTGAATCCAAGTCCATAGGGTCCTTACCACAGCTTGCATTCCACCCTCTTGGCCTCCTGGTGAATCCCACTATAAGAGCAGGGAACCTTCTAGGATAATGAGCCAATCTGTGAGTTCTGCAGAGATGAGAATAAATAAGATTTGCACCTTCCAAGCAATGGAAAATGCAAATTGCTTTTATTCTGCGACATCCGTTCCTGGTATTTCTCTATTAATGGGCAAAAGGGACGGACTTATGGACCATGAACAAGATGAAGGCAAACATACTTAATTCGCATTTGGATGTTTGCTCTGAACAACCATGGAAGCGCATTGGCTCAGAGCCTCCTTTCCACATTCGGGCCATGAACAGCAGGATCACCACCCTGGAAAAGCAACACTGAAGGCTTTCTCCCCAACTCTCCTAGCTGTGACTAGATGACCTGTTTGCAAGATAAAATTTCATGAGTATTGTTTATCTTGTACTTTGCACAAATAGGAGGATGAGCTTCATCTATGCCTTGATGTTAAAGATTGTCATTACACACGCCATGTACTCGATTTTACAGTTCAACTAAGAGAGGCAAGGTGGCCAAAGATGGCTTACAAATGATGACAAGCAAGCTCAAAGCAAGAGGTGAAGTCAAATCACACATGTGCCCCACATAGTCCTGGCCAGGAAATTCCACAGCCTGTAGACAAGCCTACCAGGCTGCGATGATTCTACTAGAAGCTAGGCTAGGGGTTGGTTCTCAGTCTACCAAGGGCTGAACTGAGCTACTAGAAGGCAAGCTGAGTCTACCAGGACTTAAGCTACATCTACTTCTGAGAACTCATCTGAGTCTACCAGTGGCCAAGTCCAGAGAGCAATTGCCAGATGTGTTTATTCATGTCAACACACCCAGGCAGTTTTTGTTAGCTTGTTCGGTAGTGCTGGGGACTGAACCCAGAACCTTGCATATGCTACACAAGCACTCTCTCACTAAGCCATACCACGTCACCTACTCTTAGATATTTTTGAGATAAGCCTCTCCTTGCCTAGCCCAGGCTTGCTTTGAACTCTCCATCCTCCTGCCTCAAGTCTTCCAAAGGTTAGATTATAGTCGTGTGCTACCCTACCTTTCTCCTTCCACTCACCTCTGCAACTCCATGGGCCCTCCCCACACCCCTACTTTAGCTGGGATCCTTGGGTCTACTTAAGCATCAATGAGCCTGATTAAAATTCTGCACAAGCACCCCTTAAGACATAGTTAAGTCACCCAATTTAAGTTGGGAGGCCAAGAGCTGCCAATTTGAATCATAAGCAGGGCTTGAGTGTCCTAGCTATTGACTTCAGTCTAGAGTCAAGTGGGTACAGACTTTATTATTTTTTTATTTTATTTTTGTCAGTTGTGGGGCCTGAACTCTGGGCCTGGGCGCTGTCCCCCAGCTCTTCAGCTGTAGACCAGTGCTCTACCACTTGAGCCTCAGCCCCACTTCCGGCTTTTTCTGCTTATGTGGTGCCGAAGAATGGAACCCAGGGCCTCATGCATGCAAGGCAAGCACTCTACCACTGAGCCACCTTCCCAGTGCCGGGTACAGACTTTAGAATTCTTACAGGTCTTCCTGTCCTATGATCTGTTCCTCTTTCTAGAAGCTTCTTCCAAGGGTACCCCTCTGAGATCAGGAGCGTGGAGGTAGCTACAGAATAACAGCTGTGGGAAAGAGGATGGAAGGGATGTTTTTACTGGAACTTTTGGGGAGGGTGTTGCCCACAGAACATTCTAGATAAACAGGGAGACAAGGCTGAGGAGATATTAAGATGAGCTGGGTGCCTCCCTATCTGTCACTCGATACGATGCCCTGTATCTGCCGTCCTTTTATCTTTCTATCTAGGATATGTGTGGCCCAAGAATACATTTGTAAGATAAACAGCTTTCTTTCCAGATTTAAGAACTCTAATTTTCACTTTACACTGAAAGGGTTTTTCTCTGGGAGGGCCAGTAGGTCCATGGTGGCGTTTACTCTTAAACTAATCTTCCTAGAAAAACAAACTCTGAGCCGAGGATGAAGGCAATGGTGGGTGGTCTCAGGAAGTGTCTGTCCAAAGAGGCTGAGAGCCAAGGAGTAGGAGGAAGGCCCCACGCTCACCGGGCTCAAGCGTACAAGCTTGAGCCACTGTTTCCTTTCACAGGGGATGACACGGTGCTCACCACAGTCTTTCTGCAAACTCAGAACCATCACTGGACCAGTAAGTGGCAGTCCTTGGGCCTGGTGACAGCTAACTGTACTCACCTGGCCAGTCTGAACGCAAGCAAGAGAAAGGAAGAGGCTGGAGAAAAGGTATGAAGATTTTTTTTTAAGTTCTCTTTCCTCTAATTCGTAAAATTACTACTTTTTTTCCCCCATCTATCAGACACTTCTTCCAAGTGTGCTGGGTAGACTAAAAGCAGACACGGAAGCAGAGGATAGCCGTGAATTGACTCCTTAACCCTCCCTGCTCTTCTGGAGAGGGGAGAGCAGCCTTGCTCAGAAGCGAGGGCTTACCGAGGTGTGCCTTGGTCCCCATGTCACAGAGGGATGACTGTGGGCTCCTGTTTCTTCCCTTTGCTCAACAAAATGAATACAGGGTCACTTCTTCAATGACGGATGGATACCAAAGGTAATTTTCCCAAGATGCATGGGCTATTGATGGCTCCCTCTCCAAATTTCAGCCTACAACCAGTGAGAAATCGGTACCCAACAACTCAGCCACCTAGTTCCTGCACGTGATACAACTGGTAGATGTGTTTATGAGCTCAACATGAGAAGGCAGGTCCAAAGCATTTCAAGTCAGGATTTAAAATACACCATCCTTCTAAAATAAAAGCACCGTCTACAAGTCAAGAACCCAGTCTCCTTTTTTCCATTAGTATGTTTGATTCTCCAGTTGTCTAGGCTAATCTGACATTAAATGTACTAGGCAGGAGGAAGGGTCCACTTCTTAGATGATGGGCTGGCACCTATGATTCACGCCTTTAATCCTAGCTATTTCAGGAGGTGGAGACTAAGGATTGTGTTTTAAAGTCAACCCTGGGAATGAAAACCCTTGAGACTCTTATTTCCAATTAACTATCAAACAAAACAAAATAAAACAAAAGCTAGAACTGTAGCTGTGGCTCAAGCGGAAGAGCACCAGCCTTGAGTGAAAATGCTAAAGGACTGTGCTCAGGCTGGGTCCCCGTACCAGCACAAAGTATGCAAGAAAGGAAGTTAGACACTTATAAATTACTATACTAGCTGTCTGATGGCATACGTGGTTGGATATCTTAGCCTACACAGACATGAATTTTAATTAAAATAATTGTAATTCATATGTAATATGTTTGACATTTAAAGTTTGGTTCATAAAATAATTTTGTTCTTGAAGGATTTTGCTGCCTGTGATTCTTTTGTGCGTTGGGGCAGGGGGGGGGAGGGAGGGTTGGTTATGGGTTTTTAACTCAGGGTCTGGGTGCTGTCCTTGAAGTTTTTTTGTTTTGTTTCGTTTCGTCCTCAAGGCCAGTGCTCTACCACTTTGAGCCACAGCTCCATTTCCAGTTTTTCTGGTGTTTAATTAGAGAGACAAGTTTTCATGGACTTTCCTGCCCAGGCTGGCTTTGAACCACAATCCTCAGATCTCAACCTCCTGAGTATGTAGGATGACAGGTGTGAGCCACCAGCCCTTGGCAGTGCCAGTGATCCTTAAACACTGAGTTTCCTCCATGTGTTTAAAACAGGCTTTGTAGTGGGGCGCCGGTGGCTCACGCCTGTCATCCTAGCTACTCAAAAGGCTGAAATCGGAGGATCGGGGTTCAAAGCAGCCCAGGCAGAAAAGCCTGAGAGACCCTTATCTCCAATAAACTGCTCAGAAAATGGGAAGTGGCGCTGTGGCTCAAGTGGTAGAGCGCTAGCCTTGAGCTGAAGAGCTGAGGGACAGCGCCCAGGCCCAGAGGTCAAGA